CTGATGTTTTGCAGCAGTCATTAGTGTCAGGTCTGGGTGGGAGCTTAATCTTTTGGAGGTGCCAGTCTTCCCAGGCTTAGTTGTACACTTCTGAATTGCAGCTGCATGAGGAGATTTAAGGTAGATGCACATTAGTTGGGACATGAGCCTGCAGGTTTGTCTCTCTTTTTCCCCCCTGACTTCATACTGGATCTTTCCCTGTGTAGCACTTCAGGCCCTGGGACTGATTCTGATTTCACTTGCATGGGTATAAATCAGGAGTGGCTTGACTTAGCTCTGTGAGCCAGAGTGTGGCCCAACCTAATGCAGCAGTGCAGGGAGGGTTAGAGTTCCTTCCCATTCCATCCTCGTGCATTTATACAGATACATGCCACATGTTGGCTGAAGGGTGGGGGCAGAGTCCTCCCCTCTGGCTGGAGGAGCCTGGGTTAGGTTGGTATCCTGTTAAGGAATGGCACCAGTTCCTTCTCCTGGTAGAAAGAGAGGCCCAGGGAAGGAATTGTAGCCCTGAGCCAGTGTCATCCTGTGTTGCTCTGGTATATTGTAACTACATAGAGGTATTTACTCATTATGCAGGGTAGTTGCATAGTGCAGTTATACTCAGGCAGAAATGATGAACCCAGAATTGGACTCATAAGACCATGTGATATGAACTCAGCTTTCTTGCTCTTTGGCCTGTGAATGCTCAGAAATTCTCTGAAATGGATGAATGTCAGTGGATTTGCTCTCCTGCTTTGCTGTAATCCTTCCCTGGCCTTTGCAGAGTGGGATTAGATTCCCTGAAGTTATCAAGGACTGGTTTATATAAAGAGATTCAGTGACTTTACATGGGAGTCCTCTACCTCAGGCTAGAACAGCAGTGGCTGCCAATAGCCAAGGCAAGGAAGTGTTGGGGCATAAGATGAAAATAGTAGCAGGATGTGAGGGTAATTGGGGCTTGGAGCTCACGAGTAAAGGCTCAGTTTGGGGGTCCAGAACTCAGATCAGTGGGGTATTACAGCTCCTGACTTGATCCATCAAAAGAGCAGTTGAAGAGCCTGAAAACGCTATGCCACTTGACAGAGAAATTGCCTTGCTTTTCCCTTCTGTTCCTCTTTCGAAAGGATGCAGAGCCAAAGAAGGGCACCCCAGTTAGTTCTCATTTTGATACTTGGGTCAGGTTCTGAGTTGAAATCATTAGGTTCCGCCTTAAGAAAGGAGGCTTTTTTATAGGTATCTTCAGCTTGGTGGTTTTGTCATGGCATTTCCTGCTTCTCTCCCAGAACAATGTTATCATACAGTGGCAGTCTGAATCTGTGCTTGGATTGATGTGTTTATGCATTAAATAATCACAGCTTTCAAACAGAAGTTCCTGTGTTGTATGAGTTGACATTTGGAGAGGAGGAGCAGTAGCTTATTAAATTCAAAACGGGGGTAAAAAAATCAAATGTATTGCTCTTCAGGTTGGGGGGTTTTCTTAATAATTTAGACCCATTTTCTCTTGCCATCCTCCCTTCCTAAAGCTGTTTCAGCTTTTTTGCTTTCTGGTATAGTGGCAGGACTAAGGGCACTGCATACTATCTTTGTGCTTTTAAGCAGGGATCAAGGAACAGGCTTGCTTTTTACAATACTGAAATCAGAGGAGTTGGACCAGCTTTGGGTAGCAATGGATTTTAGCGCATTCTTTCCCTCACACTCCTAGCTTCGGTATTAAAACTCCCAGACTTTGTACGGTAAACAACAATCCACTTACTATGGAGAAGTGAAGGCTGAGGGTGGCTTGGTGGCAGCCTATAAGTATTGAAGGCGTGTGCATCAGGAGGTGAGAGAATGTCTGTTCACCAGGGTGCTCTAAGGGAAGACAAAGTCTAATGGTCACAAAATGCTGGAAGACTGTTTTATATATAAGGATATAAGGAAAAACTTCTTTACCGTCCAAGTCTCCAAAGCCTGGAATAGACTCCCCCTGAGAAGTGGTGCAAGCACCTACTCTGGATACCTTTTAAGAAATGCTTGGATGTTTATCTTGCTGGGGTGATCTGACCCTAGCTGCCTTCCTGCCCCTTGGGCAGGAGGCTGGGCCTGATGATCTCACAAGGCCCCTTCCAGCCCTAATGTCTATGAAAGCTATTTTGTGACCTACCATTTCACCTTAAGATCTCATCTTCTGTAAACATCGGAATCAATTTGCCTCTAGTTTTGTGGCCTTCGTAAAGTCATGAGCACTCTTGGTCAAAGATGTTGAATTCTCCAAACAGAGAATGCGAATGAGCTTGCACTGGGGGTAAAAACAACAGGAGAAGAGAGTTTTTGATGGAGGAAAATTCTGGAGAGTGTATTCATGAATTTAAATGGCTAGTAAGGGAAGGCTCCATTTATACAGAGATTGAGCAAAAGGTTTTATTTTTGTTATTAAGTCAATGATTTTGGTTTCAGTGGGCAAAAAACAGTGTTGGTGGGAAGTAGGGAGGAACTGCTGTTCATCAATTCTAAAAAGACAAAATAGGCAAGAAAATACATACAGTGTCCAAACTACTTAGAAATGAGCAGAACAGTGACGTAACAGAGGTCCTTACAATTTCATGTTGTTATTTCCCTTTGTGCTGCAATGAATACATTCATGCCTATTTAAATACAATGAATACAGTCATACCTGTTTAACAGAATCAGCTTTTTTGCACCCTGTTTATTTTCCTGTATGGCTGCCTTGCTCTCTTGTACCAGACTTCAGAGATGAGGTTCCAGGGGACAGCTTGCTTAGGATCAGTAGTTTTCTGTCTTCTCCTGCTTTGGGTTTAAAGTGATAGCAGTAAAATAAAATATGTGACCTTGCATTACACATAAAATGAAACATTCAGAGACATGGATACTGTTCCCAAATGATTTACTCTGTAACTTAGAACATTCATTTATTGCCTTTTCTTATAGGTGCAAAGTGTCTGTAGCTCCCACTGAAATGGAATACATGTGCTATACCTCAGTTTCCCCATCTGTAAAATAGGGTTGATATGTTACCCTTTTCAAGGCACTTGGACATTTAATAGGTGACACATGCTGTATAAATAAGCTTTAATGCTAACAACAACAATAGCAGGACTCACACAAGGCTTTTGTTGTAGGAATTTTATCCCTTCATCAGAATTTTCTTCAGCTACAGCAGATAATGCAGAATGACTTAATGGTCTTGGGGTGATAAAGAGTTAAGTGTTTAATTTCTTTATCAAGAGTTTGTATAAATGTACTCACTCTTTAAACAACAATAACTCTAAAGTGACAGTTTTATTAGGATTTCAGTCTTTCATTTATTAGTACAGGAAACACTTGCTAGTTGCGGGTTTGGCATTCGGGGTTTCAAATATTCGTGAATGCTGAACCTGTATCTTAAATACACTTATAGGAGCTCCTTGGGAGCTCTATGCTTGCCGTCACTGCGCTGCCACTGCGCTGCTGCCACTGCTAGCACAGTCGTGCCCTCCCCCCCCAGCCGCTGGGGACACTGCGTTCATGAACGCAGTGTCTTATTCGCGGATTTCGCCATTCACAGGGATCTTGAGAACGTGTCCCCCGCAAATGGCAAGGGTCTCCTGTAATTACAGAAAGGTAATGTCTAGAGACCATGGCTGAGGTGAGGACCCCTTTGTTAGGCTGGCGGTGTATAGGCAAATCCAGACTATCCAGGTTTAGCTCCCTCAAAAACCTACATACATGCTTAACTTTGATCCACAAGGAGTCCTGTGGTTTTGTACTGTTTACTCACAATGTGTAAAGTTCAGTCAGATCAGGACCAACATGTAAACAGACAGACAATGGTGTGAGCAGAGAGAGATTATTTTCAGAGGCATGCAGAAGTTAAGGGACTTGCCCAAGGTTGCCTCTCTCACGTCTCAGCTTACTGCTTCATCCTTTCTTCCCTCCATATGAGGAAACACAGGGCGCATCTACACTTGCTTATTAATATGATGTAATAAACTCCCAGGACCAGAGCACATTGAGCCAGGTTGGAGCAGCCCTGGCTGGCAGAGGCTCTGGGAAGTCAAGCTGTCAGCCAGGTCCTCCTGGCTCAACATGCTGCAGAAGGGCTGGCTGGGGCATGAGGGTGCTCCAGTGTGGGGCTAGCCGGTAGGCAGCCCCCTCACTGAAGCACCCTCGTGCCCTAGCCAGCTGAAGCAGCGTCTACACGTGCACTGCTGCAAAATAAAAAACTCTGCAGCAGGGTAGTACTTGTATTTACAACTACCCTGCTGCGGAGTTTATTAGTTTACTCCAGCCTAATTGGGCCACACATATAGATGTGTAACATTTACTGTGGAGCTAATTAGTCTACTCCACAGTGAATGTCTCATGTAGATGTGCCCACACTGCATCAAGCCTTAGAAGGTGTGTGGCAGGGAGAAATCCTTCACTGCCTGGGGGATGGGTTAGATGAAGTCCTCAGTCCTGTCCATCTAATTTTTGTCATTCTGCCTTCCTACGTGACTGAAAGAAGAGCATCTCCCCAAACACTGGACGTGGAATGCTTGTGATGTACGGGGAGCTGGCTATCTGACATGCAGTGGCAAATGCTCTAGGGTAGCGGTTCCCAGTCTGTGGTATGTGTACCACCAGTGGTACGCAGACAACCTGTCAGTGGTACATGTTAACAGATTTATTATAATTACTTTCTGTAACAAAAATTTGCTGGTGGTACTTAAGGCTGAACTGAAAAAATGTGCTGGTGGTACTTAAGTTTGTATCATTTTTAATTTGTGGTGCATAATCTATCAGAGTTTGGGAACTGCTGTCATACATAGGGGATAGCTCAAGGCATGTGCCTCATTTTGCTCCTTATGTGAGCTCTGCAGGGGACATAGGCTGAACATAGGCCACATGCTGACCCCTCTCCTTGTCTGGATTTTGCTTGGAGCCTGCAAGCTCTTGTGCATCAGTGAGGAAGGGAGAAGATCTGCTGTGCTGTAGGAACACAACACCTCCATGACTTCTGTTCCTTCCCTGAGGCTGGGTTTCTTTCTCCCTCCCCACAGGTGAGGCCTGGCGACTGGAAGACGACTGTATGGACTCTGTGGGGGACCCTGCCCTTCGTCCACAGCTCCGCACTGCCGTGGATGAGGCTCCTTTCAGCTACTTCCGTACGCGGTCCTTCTACATGAGGAAAAGCCTGTCTGTGGACAACCACCTGAGCTCCCTCAGCTACTCCATCCATCCCTCAGAGACAAAGGCTGAGCGTGTCAAGACCAAGCTCCGGAGACAGTTTGTGAGTATTCAGTGGAGAAGAGCTTCTCCCTTCCCCCTTCTCTCAAAGCATGTTATGAAGGTTCTTGATACAGGCAGCACACACCCATGCGCGCGCACACACCCACCCACCCCAGTAACATGCTACCTGGTTATTTGTATTTAAAACATTAAAAAAATCCAGTTTGGCTCTCTAGGCTGGTGACATGATGGTTTCATCATCTTGAGTTTGGCCAAATTGCACCAGAAATCTGATTTGTCTTGTTCAGCAGGTTTCTGTGCTCTCCCTTCCTCCACTCCCTCCCCACCATTTAAAGAAAAGCTCTCTGAGGGCTTTTGCTTGCATCAGATGGCTCCTGCACAGCCTAGTAATGCAGTGTGTTAATATGTTGTCTTTTCAGCTCTGGGTACATGAATTCCAGATTTTAGGTCATGAGTGAGAATGGGCTTGCTGTGTCATCTCAGGCTTTAATTCATTCCTTATAGTTTGACCCTTTTGGGGATTTCTGCTCAGAAAAGGAGCCAGGACTGGATAAAGAGTGCATGCAGTGGCTCCGAATGCAAATGAGGAGGTGGGAATGCCCAGAGCTGTCTGTTGGCGCCTCACTGGAGTAACAGTGGATGTTGCTAGGGTTGAGGACAGTGCTGCAGGTGAGGACAGAGGCATCTTACCACGTGCTTGGTGTGTAAACTGTTGTAAACTTTGGGTGTACTGCTGTGAGAGGCGTTTGCAGATATGCAGGGCTCAGAGCTGGTAAGGACCAGCCAGGCAAGGATTGAGCTGCCTTGGCTAGGTTGTTTGTATGAAACTTGTCCATGACCTACCTCTGCTGTGCCAGTTTCAAGTCATTGCTCGCGTTCCTCTTGCCTCTGGAAGCAATAACTAACTCCACCTAAAAGGGGCTCCTGAGGAGAAGTGGAGTCTCTTTTTCTCATTCTGAGACTGGGACCAGCAGTGAGAAAGTATTACCTGCACCCTCACCCCAACCTCCCCTAACCCTCGGTTCAGCCAGAACCTGGCCATGTGCAGTAGCTTTGTTTCTGCCTTGGATTTGGAAGCAAATGCTTTGCACCCATTAGCATGCTGCCTGGGGAGAGAGGTAAGGAGGAGAGTAACCCTTTGCCTTGGCAATGATTCCTTCGGGAGTGATTAAAAGAAAACACAGGAGCTGCAGCAGCCTGGACATGAGGTGGTTAGGGGAAGCTTTCTGTTTCAAGTTTAATGGGCTTGCGTCTTCTTTTTCTGAGAGACATCTGATACAGACATTAATACAGCCATCTCACTGCCTTATTACTGCCTTAGAGTTGTAATGAAGGGCTCAGGTGTCCTTGCATTGAAACACAATACCTCCTAAACTGGAGCTAGTGTGGGCCTTCAAATAATGGGAATGAACATGAGAGGCCTCAAAGAGGGCTGCTGGGGGCCTTTCCCTCTAGAGGGCTGAGCGTGAGCCAGCCAGAGAGTTCAGAGCAGAAGGCTGCTGAGCACCTGTGGTAAGTGCATGAGCTCTGCTGTTTGACCCCATAGGGAGTCTGCTGTTGCAGCTGGGGCTTGTGAGTTCTTTTCCTCCCTCTCGCCAAGAAGGACAGTTGCTCTGTAGGACAGTAGCACAGGTCTGATCTTGCGTCTACTACTCTATATGTAAGCACAATTCATAGCATTGTTTCTGTGGTGTGATATCTGCTTGCCTTTGGCTCCCAAATGTCCTTGGAAGCCCCAACAGAGGACTTTTCCTTCCTGATTTTCACGTGTGTCCTGCTGCACTGCATGTGTTCCCAGTGGGTTTGGATGAGAAGTAAAATTTGATTTTTTTTCCTTTCAGCTAACGGGATGACAATTCTAACTTTAACTGTGGGTTGTTGCATTTTCATACAGCGATAAAAGTGGAAGCTGGCAGTGACATTTTTATGGATGCTGGTTTAGATCCCTGTGCTGTGAACTGCAAGCAGGAAACAAGATCTCTGGGATTTGCTGTGTTTGAGTTAGGAACTGGCTAAAACCAGCTACTGTGGGCACCTTCACAAACAGCACAAGGCATCTTAAAGGTGGCAGTACGGGAGTCAGACATGCTTAGAGTGAAGCAGTTCTGCTTTGGGGTAAGAAATGGAACCTCTTCTTCCTGCCTGTTCCTCTTGTTCCTTAAAGTTCTACCTTTGGCTTTGTATGCATAGTAGAGAGCGAGGGCAGGAGAGAGGATCACAAAGAAGCTATTTGAAATACAGGAAGCTTCTGCAGCAGAGACACCTTTTGCTTTCCCTGGTCATATCCATTTACCAGGAACCAAGAGCTGTGCCTTCTATGTAGGCAGCATGAGGGAGAAGTGCAGGAGGCCTGTGGTACTGAACCCAACATGGGGGAGGAACATTAAGCAAATGGCTTTGAGGATGGAGCAGAGCTCTTCAGAGTCCCTGCTGCAGGATCACTCTTTGCCTTGGGATCTTGCTCTTCCTGATTTGCAACAAGCGGATAGCTGTCTGCTGCTTTTGTCTCGAAAAGCATTTAAGTGCCTCGCAGCAGGGTGGCCTGTGTTTCTGATGAGATGTGACAGACACCAGTGCTCTGGACCATCTGTTCCTTCCTGCCTTCTCACTGATGGTGGCATATACTCTGTAGCTTTCCACGTGGTGGCTAGTGCCAAAAGCAGAACAGCAGGCCAGATGGGCTAATGGTTTAAGGCAGCATGATGTGCCCTGATGACAGTCATTCTTTTTATTACGCCTTCTGGAACCTGCCATTAACTTTTTCAACCAAAAAAAAAAAAAATTCTCCCTGCCCTCTTCCCCCCCATACCTTTAAGATTAAATCAGATTGCTTGGTTTTGATTTCATTTTCAGAAATAAGCGCATTTTGCATAATGAGTCGCTTTTCTGCCTGTTCTGTGTAACTTCCTCTAGAGTGTTGGGTTATTGCTTTTTTTTTTTTGTTTTAACGCTCATTTTCTTAAGTAGGCTCCAGCCAAGATGCAAAGACCAAGGCTGCATTCAGGTGCTGGAGTTGGTGGACTGGCTTTTCAAAAGTTCTCAGTATACCCAGTTCCCATTGTAACTTAAATCAGACCTAAGAGTCTGAATTTGGGAAATCTTACTCTTTTGGGGTTTTTTGTTCCAAGGGTCAAATGGCAAGTACAGAAATCCTTCTAGAATCCCCTTCCCTCACCTGGGGCTAGGTCAAGGTCATTCCATATCCCTAGATGGGATGGGAGATATGGAAGCTCTTTGGTGAGACACAGTAGGTGCTCGTGCTGCTATTCTTTCCTCGTTCTGCAGCATTCTGTCTTAGGGTTTGATCCTGCCCATGGAAGTCAGTGGGATTCTTGGCCTTCATTACAGAGGCAGCAGGAAAAAAACCCTTGAAACTTTTGGGCAATGAGCCAACACAGCTGATTAATGTTGTCTTCTATGGAAGATATGGGGATTTTTGAGGCTATTTTTCTCATTATTCTGCTTTGCTTAATAGCTAAAGGGTATGTTCCTGTGGGCTGGGGTCAAACTGTATAGTTTGGGGCTGTGATATCATCAGATCACGGAAGTAAAGCAGGGTTATCCTGTCTGGAGTGTGCTTCAATGGGACCTTCAGAGGAAATCCAAGTGCTGTAGACAGTGGTGTTGATGGTTCAGTAAGCAGGTTGAGGCAGCACTAAGCCAGTGCCCTGTTATTTTATATTTGAATTAATAGACCTCACAACTCGTGATACCTATTTTTTCCAAGAATAGTTAAGTCTGGTGTTAGATTTAAATGCAAGTCAAGGTTCAGAAATTATATTCTACCTGCCCAAAATCTCTCTGCAATTTCACTTAGCTGTGGTATTATCCTCAGTTTTGTATTACTAACTGTTATTCTGTGTTGCAGTATAATCTAACAGCAGCAGTGTTCTGCCTCAGCAGTGGTTGCATTTCAGTGATTGGTGGAGTGACTCTGTGTAGGTAAAGTCTGTGCTGCATGTGGACATAAACACAGTACAATTTTAAGAGGATATGGTTGACTTTTCTGTGATGGCACATCTGGGACCTCTTAGGAAAGTCCCTATTAAAACTTGATTCATTTTTTCTGTGCTCTTTCACTTGTTCCATGTTTTATATTAAATTTCTGACATTATTTTCTGCTGAGAAATCAGTCTGCCCTGCTTTTGCTATGTGAAATAGCTGCCTGCCCCCATCTCTGTCTCAAGGAAAGTTCTGAAAGTCTGGTGCCTGACTGACATTTAGGTTTTACCAGGACTGTTTGAGAACAGTCTCCAGTGAGGAGGGGACTGTGGGGAGTAGAGAAAGAAAGCATGATCTCCCAAACAGTTGCACTATGTACACCTGCTACTAGCTATCAGTATTAACATTTTTATTGCAGCCTTTGTAAACCCTGATATTTAATGTATTGCAACCATATGTTAGATTTTTAAAGCTAGAAGGGCCCAGTTTGACCATCCAGTCCAATCTCTTGCATAACCCATGGTTCTTCTGTGGATATCTGAGCAAGATGGAAGCTTGCTGTAGCCCTCATAAAAATATTTTGGGCTTTTTATTCATATCACTGGACTGGCATGAATGTGCATAAGGTGACAACTGTATTGCTAAATAATCTGTTACTCATTTTTTTGTCAAGGCAATTCCTTAGCCCCCACTATCTGCATCTAGTCAGAAAAGATGCTCTTTCTCCAGCAGCAGCAATGTTTCTTTCTGCCCACATGAGGTGGCTGCAGCATACCATCTCTGTAGAGCTGGTTCTGCTGAGGATTCTCACAACCAGTGGAGCTGGCTAGTCGAACATGTAGGCAGTCTCATTGCTGGCATCTGAGGGATACTCGCGTACAGATTATTTTGATTTGCATAATTTGAATTTTAAATGAATCCTGATTTTTGTGATTGTCAGAACGGGTTTTCTTTTTAATAAGCCTTTCCATTTAACTCCTTTAGGACTTGTAACATCGGGGAAGTTTCCGCTTTCGAGAAAGAGAGAAGCCTTTGATTCCGTCTGACAGCTGTCTTTCAGATTTGCACAGACGCCCGTTTTCCAGGGGTATGAATCAC